TGGCCACCGGAAACCGGCGGACACCACCAGTGACAGACCTGGGAGACAAATGAATTCAAATGCTGCATGGCCAGCGGAAAAGGGCGGACACCAGCAGTGACACAAAGGGCGGACACATCTTAAGAAAGAATTGAGAACCCCTAGCAGTAAACTGTTTGGGGAACAAAAAACACTGACTGGGCGAGCCCAGTTCTTTTTTTGTTTGTTTCAGTAGTCTTTTGGTTGCTTTTTCCTAGGAAGTGATTGAAAAGATGTCTTGGAGTGGAAAATCGAAGTTCGGCACTTGTGGTAGCACCATTCTTTACTATTGCAAGACTTGCCCACTACGACTTGTCAAGAGAGTGCAGCAACACCCTTGCTGACTTGATCTACGGAATACGACATGTGGCGGAATTTTGACTGAAAGTCGTATGGTCTGGAAATTCAAAGAAAAAACAGAACACAACCCAGGATCCCCTCACGCAGCTTCTGCGCAAGTTTCATCTGAATCAAACCTAGTCAAGTCAGCGCACCCTCGAACAGCTGGCAATGGCCATGTTGAATGCCACCAATCGCGCACCCGCCTCATCAAGAGAACAGGCAGAAGGGGGGCCCTTTCTGAACCCTCAAAAGACTCGTCATCTGCTCGATCTGGAGGGGATCAACATGGACAGGGTGGGGCAAATCCAGTCTTAGCACCAAATATGCTTTGAATTGAAACCAACAAGTGGAAGGGCAAAACACATTTTGGGCGTTGCCATGCTTTGCCTGCGCTTGGAACCAAAAAGAAACACAAAATCTTCATATGTTTCAGTCACCATTTATGACGGTCTGAGACTCTCAACCCTGCGGCGGGTGCCAGCGGCCTCTTCCGGCAACAAGGACAAAGCAACGTGCACTGGAGATGCGGCTTTCAGCGCAAAGGTCAAAGCAGCCACTTCACGGCCAGTGGCCTCACAGCCGGGAAGCCCCGTGTTCACGGAAAACCCCTTGTTGAAGAACCGTTTTGGTAGGCACTGGCCACCCATGGTCTTAAAGACTTAAAGATTTCTGGCTGGAGTCCAGAATGACCGGTATGATCACACACATCTGGTTGTTGGAGTCCACCAAAGGCTATTCACGGCCTCCTTCACCACTTCTCGTGGCTCGCTGGCAGCGACAGCTCCGCCATCTCCCACCGCCACCACTACCTAGCTGTGCTGTCTTCAAATGTCTCATCTAAGTAGTGATCCATAGAATCATCAACCTGTCTGGTGCATTCCAAGAAAGAACAAACACGTTTCTTCGCACGTCAGCAACAAAATTTCAAAACCAACATGGGTGACAAATTGCCAGACCAACCGATCGCCCACAGAAATTGGCAGCAATTAAAAAAAAAAAAACTGAACATGCATCCATATCAAAGGAAGCGAAACTTCCGAGTCGCCAAAAGTTTCAGTTAGAGCAGGGAGTGCAGGATGGGGTTGGGTCAGAGGCGTAGATGCAATAGCATGGCTGTGCGTAGGCATGCCCTGGGTAGAATGGGGAGAATCCTTACGCCGTCAGGTTTCAGTGGGTTAGTGCCTGGATGCGCCTGGTAGCTTAAACAAGAATCAGAAGCAAGGCACCCTCTACGCACCGTCAGAGCTTCACGAAAAGTTGAGGTCGTATCGGCAGCTCTGGGCTCAGAACTGGCAATTGTGTAGTACAAATGTATATAGAACTTGGAGAAGCTTCTGGCAGCCCTGGGTTGAGAACCAGGCACGTTTGTAGTACAAATGTAGTACCGTTCACAGCAGCCGTAGCTGTAGTGGCACTCACTGACTCCCTTCACTGAGTGATTTCCGAGTCGACTCACGACTCGTCGACTCACCGTTCGTCACGACACGTCCGACACGAGAGACATCACGCGTCACGACACGAGAGCCATCACGTCACACAAGAACGGCCTTATGCATCAACCACACCACCATACACCACTCTCTCGTTGATATGTTTTGAATTTTTCCAACCGGCTCTGCCAGAAGATTATCGTTAATAGGCGTTGTATTTAAGCATAACTTGGTGATACAATATAGTTACTAAACTTCCACAAGGACTATAGTATGTAGTCGAGTCGATCCAATCCCCAGTTGTTCCACCTTTGCGCATCTTTGCGCAAGGGAAACAAGAACGAGGGGCTGGAGCTTCTGAGCTCAGGCTTCGCCGGCAAGCCGTGCACAGAGTTTTGCGCCGACATCGCGTTAGGATTTTGCAAGATCTCATAAGACATCCAGTATTGCTGGACTCACTGAGTTTGATGGCTTTTGTGAAGGGTCCAATTCTGCAAAGAGAAGGCTGCTAAACAGTTGTTGATGGTACGACAAGCCTTTAAAACTGCGGACTCTTCTCTTTCTCTTCTCAAGTACAAAACGTGACATCACCTCTGCTCACGAGCATTCGCAGTGCTGAAGGGCACCGTCGCTCGCCAACATGAGTTCTCGACCAGTTGTTTCAGGCCATTCATTGTACATCTATAGTTTCTGCTGCTGAGCCCGATATAATGTCACCTTCCGAGAAATCGATCAACGCACGCGCCGCGAAGCACGCGCCGCAAAGCACGCGCCACGCAAGGCAAATCGTTTTCACCCAAATGTCTCCTCAATGAAGTGAAAGTTCTTTTCCCGGTACCTCTTGGCAAATTGCAATCCCGCATAATCCTGCTATGTTCTTTTCTGAACGATATTCACCAGGCTGGCGCACTCGGCTCTGGCCAACAAGGACTTCAAAACTTCTGTCTTGGGACCGTCTTCCAATGCCTCTGTCAGCGGGCTTTTTCTTTCATCATTCAGAGACTACAATACAAAGTTCCAAAAATGTTGACAAAGTCAATGAGTTCTGCCAGTGGAAACAAATCTCTGTGAGGTATTGCCAAAGGCGAGAAACCGACACCCCATAACCAATCTGGACTAACTCGGTGTCGCACAAAGACATGCCCTGCAGGAAGCTTGATGCCAAAGTCCTCGACTTGATGGCGAAAAGCTTGTTGCCGCATCAGTTTCATGTCAAAAATGTCGGGCCAAACTATCCTGAGAATTGAGAGAAGCGGTGGAATCATGTGACTTCCTTTCGAAGGTCTCGAACTCCAGGTCAACATAACACTCACTCACGAGAAAGAAAGAAGTTTGCAAGGAGCCTGATCCTTTTTGCCGGGCGCACCTGAAGAAGGGCTTCGGCGAAGCGTTTTTGCTTCCTGAGGCAGGTAAACTGACCTCTTTTTGCTCACTTCCTTTTGCTGTCATTCGACAGAAAGGGATGATACAAGGCAGAAAAAATAAGGAGACCGTTTTCAATTGTCAACCGGAATGATGTTCTCCCATTGTACCACCTAAAGACTACATACAAGCGGTGCTGTTCTCACGTTCCATGGAGGAAAAGACCGTGACTTGATGACATTGCCACAAAGGTCAGCTTTTGACAGTCAAGGCTCGTGGTGATGACGAAAACCTGTCCAACCGGAAGCATCATAAGCATCGCAACTCAACGAAAGTGCAAAGTGTCAGGTCGTCAGTTTCCGGGCACTCCAGCCATGTCCGTTGGAGTTCTAGAGGTTGAGAGGGCAGGAAAACCGAGTGTTCTTCTAGGATCTTACGGGGTCTAGAATCGGCGTCAGGGTGCCACAGTTGCCTTCCATCATGCGTGCAAAGAGGCACCTCTGCTCCACTCGAGAGCATTTGGATGATCACATCCGGAACCTCATTTGCAGGTTTTGGAGTGGAAGCTCAGAGCCCTAACCTGTATTTAGGCAAGTATATACAAGGACTCAAGATTCTCTTCACTCTTATGAGCTTTTGAGTCTTACCCATGAGCGATTGAATTTGGATCCCGTCCCCACCAGTGGCTACGGCGTGGCTACGGGTGTACCAAGACTTCGTGCGGTTTCGCTTCGTTCTCCCCAGCCGGAATGCACCCGTGAATCTCCCCCCCCCTCCCAAGACTCCGACCCTGTCATAGGCCCTGTTCGTGCCCTCATCGCCAAGCAACAAGCAACATCGCCAGGTACGTTCACGGTCTTCAGCCCCGAAAGGACATGACTTGACTGCCCAAAAAGAACGACGGTCGATTCCCGTGTCGATGTTCAAGACAGCTGGCTGTCTTGGTCATTTGACTTGCTATGTCAATCACATGTTTCCCCTGGGCCGCCGTACAAACCATGACTTCAGATCTTCCGCCATCCACTTGTCTCGCACCTGTATGGGCGGTGTTTCTTTCGCAAACGGACATATGATACAAAAAAAGGCGTATACAAGTATTATGTGGACACAAATCAAAAAGAAGTGCAAATCCACTCCACCCACTTGTTTTCTGGAGCTACTTTCCGTCTCGTGGTTGGTGTCTGCATGAATGAAAGTGTCACAATGATTCGCTGTTTTCTTGTAAGTGTCTGTCTACACCTGAAGAATGTTAACTGCCTGGCCTCACCAAAACCCTTGATGAGTCCCTGGCACAGGAAACCGATGCTCAAAAAAAGTGCCTTCAGTGAGGGGTCAAAAAAAACAGAACCCAACACGTTCTTACTTTTCTTGCTTGGGATGTTGTTGGAACAAGGCTTAAACCAATCGCATGTAATTAGAGTCGCCTGAAAATCGCATGAAATCAGAAAACGTCCAGCTCGAGCTCCGCCTGAACGTCCAGCTTGAGCTCGCGGACTTTCTCATCTCTCAGCTGCTCCCAGCCTTGAACGGACATGAAAATGACCATCTGAAAGCACAGTTCTGAAAGGAAAAACTAAAAGAAGGTGGACTTGCGCCCATTTGTGTAATAAGGCCCCCTTGAAAAAAGGGTCCACGGTTCACCCTTTTTCTTCCTTTGTCCAGGGCAGCACTGGATCTACCTGTTATAATTATATGTCGTCATGCGTGTTATGTGCCTGTATCCCTTCATGGCGCAAGGTGCGGCTTGACTACATGTAAAGGGGCTAATGGTTGAATGCTGGGGTCCAATCACGTTGAGCACTATAACTATATCACAAAGCAAACAAAACCAAGGCTATGACAAAAGGCATTACTGCTCCGACAAACTTCAGGTGTACAATGCTGCTGATAATGATGCGAGAAAAACAAACCTCTGCTGGACGTATGTTCAGCACCGGGCCAGCCAGGATGTCTTTACACAACAAACTGGCACTCCTGCACCAGTTCTTCAATGCTTGTGAGGAGACTACCAAACATAGTCAGCTTGACAGAAATCACGGCAGATGTCTCAAGATTTGGAAGCCCAGCTGTCTACCACTTTGAGCAAATCCGTTGAACCAACTTTGAAACTCTGGTGTAACCCGCACCGCTCCCCTGGCTTTGATCAGCACAAGGATATCAAGTACCCCACTGAAAAGAGGTTTGCATTCATCAGCTTGTTTGTCCAAATGTCAGGTTTCATTTCCAGGCTTCCAGCTCAGCTTCACCTTTCTGGCTTTGTGCCTCCAAAAAGTGTCGAGTGAATGAACAAGGATTTCAGATCCTTTCGGATCCGTTTCGAAACGGCGAGGTTTCGATGTGGGGTCCTGACACGAGGCTTCGATTGTGGGTCGACCAAGCGTTGGACCGAGAAAGTGTCGCTCCAACAACACAGCCGCCTCTACCAGGTTTGCATCTGCCAGCATCCTGCCCGCTGCCCGTTGAAAGTATGCCGCGCAGCAACAGTGACAAGCAAGGTTGGAAGTCGTCAAAGCAAACCCTCAAAATGGTTGAAAGTTCTTGGTCTCCGTTTTTGCTTCAATACATCACATCAAACCAAGCTAGCTGCCCATTCTCTGTGTGCATGTCCCACAAGTGAATTCGTTGCAACATGAAAGCCAAACCGGCCAAGCCCAAGCTTGCGCATTGCCCAAGCTACTTCGCATTCCCATTGTTGGTGTCCCAGCCACACCGCACAGTTGCACAACCTGCCTGATAATCAAGGTATTCTCCCAGCCAGTCTCGATCACCGGGCGCACCTGGCGACGGACACGCCGCGCAAGGGCGCCGCCGCCCCCGGGCGGAGACACGCAGTGCGTTCGACCAGTTTGCGGGAGTGAAAACACCGTCCACAGCAAAGCCCATCCAAAAACCGGAGATGAAACAAGCAAGGCTGGTGATGGGTCCTCTCTTCAAGCGAGCAAGGGCCCACTAGCCGCATTGGATCCAAAAAGGGCCTTCCGACATTGATTCCAATCAGCAAACGACATGAAACTCGAATAAGCCTAAGCTCGACTTCTATTGATCTCCGCTTTGGGTCACTAGTCACTAGCTAATCTCATAGCACAAACCATGTGCAGCCTATTCCGCTTCTGACCGAGACCGCGGCTGTGGAGAGTCTCCCAGAGTCGAGACTAGTGGCCAAAGATCCCTGGCATGTTTCCACGCCTTGGTTCATGGGTTTTAAGCGACGAACAAAGCAGTTGAAGTGGAAAGAACAACCAAGTGGCTGCCTCTGGGGGGGAAGTGAACATCCAAGTGAACATCCATTAGCTATGCTGGGTCTCAAACCACTGGTTTATCTTTTCTGTGCCATGGTACACCCTTGTTTCCGAGTGTTTCCTGGCCGCTTGCAGGAGTTCTGGCCAATCACTCCACACCCAGGCTTTTCCGAGGGGCCCTGCCGCAGTCGAGCTCTCATCAACGGAGTCACAAACGACCTCTGCAGGGCATCGGCTCACCACCCAGAAACAACTGCAGCATCAACACGAAAGAGATCGGACTTTTTTGGAAAGCAACTCCACTGCACCATGATTTGCATAAAGGCTGGGACAATGTTGATTAGACCATTCGTTTCATGAATCGCTTGAGATTTTGCTTGTTTACCGCGTGGCAAAAACTGTTACTGTAGCCACAACTTCTTGCTACAGACCTCTAATTCTGATGTTGGAACCCCTGCAATATTAAAAAAAACAAACAAACACTGTGTTTTGAGGTGTTGCAAGAGGTGTAGAAAGGCGGCCTTGTGACACTTTGTGCCAGTGAATCGAGTGGTGGAGTCAATCGTTGGAATCCACGGTTTTGAGGTGTGGCAAAGGGTGTGGCCAAGCAGTTTTGCTACACCTTATGCTACACATGTCTATTGTTGGTCAGTCGCTGGAGAACCGGTTTACTGACTTTTAAAGTACAACAAACAAACGTATTCCTCCAGCCTATAATTGACCCAACGATAGGAATCTGTGGCAAAAGTGTGGAGAAAACGCTTGGCCACACCCTTTGCCTCTCCAAAACAATTGTTTTCTCAGGTTTCCAACTATAAAAACGCCGCCAGATGATCAACGATCCAGCCCTGCCCAAGGAGCCAGTTTGCAGCGGGTACGCACGTGCTACAGCGGCTCCACGCAATGGCCTTTCTCTCACAATTATATAAGTTATATAACTATATATATATATAATTGTATATATATATATAATGTATAACTTGGACTGCACGACGTCCACGCTATATATATATATATATTGTTCTTGGGAAGGATGATTCAGGGTCGTATTCTCGAGCAAAAGCCCGAAACCGCAGCAGCAAGCACGCTCCGACGCAGAAAAAAGTGCATGCGCGGCTTTTGCCTTAAGCTCTGACTCGCACGTTTTGACAAAAAAACAAAGGTGATTGTGAGAGTGGCGGAAGCAACATACCAGTACCAAACTGTCATGGTCATGGAGTGCTGCCATCCCCATCTAATCTCTGCACAACTGGGACTGTGGCTCCATCAAAGTCAAAGCAAATCACCAATTTAGAGGCCTCAGCCTGGCCCCCCCGAAGCAACATGGTCGAAGAAATGAGAAGTGTCGAAGTCAGAACCATTGAACTTGGCGTTCTCCCCATGTTTGGGTGGGTGAATAGTACTGCAAGGCGTCCCATGAAGCTTTTGATGAGGTTTCAAAAGGTATGCTACCAGCTCCCCGTTCTCTTGAAAGTTGACAGAAGGTGCAAAAAGTTGGCAAACTTGGCAGCATTCCCTACACAGTTTGGAAGAACCGGTATCTTGTTCTGGGACCCTGAGGGCTGTTTGAATCAACCAGCAGGCATGTTGGCGCACGAACTTCGGATCGGACATGGTCAGAATTTCATGATATGAAGAAATACAACACTCAACAAAGAAAGGGCAGCAACAACCAACACCAGCAACTTTAAGCTTCACAACACAACAAACGGCTTTGCCCAGCTGTCCCCACTCTTCAGAGTCAAACTTGCCTTTGTTGCCCGGAGCACACACCTGAATAGAATCCAACATCACAAGGCCCAACGTCGAAAAAACAATCGATCAATCGGAAACAATCGGTCAATCGGTCCATCACAAATCGGTTTTGGACCCACCAAAATGTCTCATGTTTTCCCTACTGTGGCTTCGCAACCTTGTGGCGCCGAACTGCCCGGCCAGCACACACACTCCGCGACGTCGAAGCCTGGCATGGCTGACGTTTCCCAGAAGGTCTTCTGGCCTGCTCAGGCGTCGCTGCCGCCGCCTTGATGGCCTTTTTGGGTTGCAAACAGCAAAGCCCACAAGCCCTGTGGCTAAGGAGGGCAAAGCCAGCCTGAACGATTGCCCGACCGAGACCAAAAGACCCAAGAGACCCAACAACCAGCTGTCAATTTGGCACTGTTTGCGGCTAATCTGCACGACTTTGCATGTTGTGTCTGCCATGGGTATGTTTCCAACAACAAAAACCTGTCGCTTGTGGGTCGGCCCATGGAGGAACTCTTGATGAATAGACTCACCTGCCGCTTCCAACTGACTACCATCCCTCCGGGTTTCCTTATATACCTTCATCCCTTGGATACTTCCAGATAGTTTGCGTTGATCCTCCAATACGGAAACCCAAATCATCCCAAATCCCAATGGCGCAATGCACCGGACCCGCGAAGGAAATGAACACCCCATGTCGGACGTCGCGTGTCCACGGTATTTCACAGGCCAATCAAAGGGACACCACGTACACAGAACACGTCCAACTCAAACCCCAGACCCCCAATGCTATAAATGAGAATCCGTCGCCACGCATTTGGAAATCCACGGAATCCGAAGCGCCTCTGACAGGTCGGCGATCCACGTTTCTGACCGTCGATCCGCTGTGGCTGGCGCGGCGCGGCCCAGACTTCGGCCGCGCGGATCATGGCCGGCCTTGGACACACGAGCCGATGGTCCTCAAGCCTTCTTTGGGCCGTCCGATGCATGAAAATGGTCAATCCCAGGAAGAGTTGACCTGTACATGACCAAATGGCTGAACCCCATCCTCCAAAAAGCTAGCTCACCAAGGAAGCAGATTGAAACACGGGAAGTCCACGGATGTCAGTTCCCAACAGCCACAAGCCCACAATGACCCCAGAAGGAAAGTGAACCAAGCCGATCTGAAAAGGTGAGGTGCCTCCAGCCGAGCCAGCAATGCGTCTTTATTTATATATAGGCTTGTTTACAAATAGTTCCCGGGCAAGCCGGCGGCGGAAGTTTCCAAAAGAATAAGCCTATAGGAGTTGGGCATGTGGCAGGCTGATTCGCCGAACTGCGATGTTCTTTGACAAAACAAGTTGGAGCCGACCAATGGAGCGAAAGCGAAGCAACCACCGTCAACTGTCTCGCACTTTGCAAAATACAGGAAAGAGATGACTCAGCCGCGTGCTAAAGTTGCACTACAAAGTCGCCAGTTCTCAGCTTCCAGCTCCACGGCTTGCTCCGCGTACTAGAGTTGTACTACAAAGTCGCCAGTTCTCAGCTCCCAGCTCCACAGATTGCTCCGCGTACTAAAGTTGTACTAGAAAGTCGCCAGTTCTCATCTTCCAGCTCCACAGGTTGCTCCGCGTACTAAAGTTGCACTACAAAGTCGCCAGTTCTCATCTTCCAGCTCCCCAGATACTCCGCGCACTAAAGTTGTACTACAAAGTCGCCAGTTCTCATCTTCCAGCTCCCCAGATACTCCGCGTACTAAAGTTGTACTCCAAAGTCGCCAGTTCTCAGCTTCCAGCTCCACAGATTGCTCCGCGTACTAAAGTTGCACTACAAAGTCGCCAGTTCTCATCTTCCAGCTCCCCAGATGCTCCGCGTACTAACGTTGCACTACAAAGTCGCCAGTTCTCAGCTTCCAGCTCCACAGATTGCTCCGCGTACTAAAGTTGTACTAGAAAGTCGCCAGTTCTCATCTTCCAGCTCCCCAGATACTCCGCGTACTAAAGTTGTACTACAACGTCGCCAGTTCTTAGGTTGCAGCTCCACAGATTGCTCCGCGTACTAAAGTTGTCCTAGAAAGTCGCCAGTTCTCATCTTCCAGCTCCCCAGATACTCCGCTACTAAAGTTGTACTACAAAGTCGCCACTTCTCAGCTTCCAGCTCCCAGATTGCTCCGCGTACTAAAGTTGTACTACAAAGTCGCGCCACTTCTCAGCTTTCTCAGCTTCCAGCTCCTTGCTCCGCGTACTAAAGTTGTACTACAAAGTCGCCAGTTCTCATCGCCCAGCTCCGCAGATACTCCGCGTACTAAAGTTGTACTACAAAGTCGCCAGTTCTCAGCTTCCAGCTCCACAGATGCTGCGCCTGCCACGAAATCTGCGCCTCGAGGTTCACAAAGCGCTGCGCCTGCCACGAAATCTGCACATGGAGGCTCACAAAGTGCTGCGCCTGCCACGAAATCTGCACATGGAGGTTCACAAAGCGCTGTGCCTGCCACGAAGTCTGCCTGTGCCTGCCACGAAATCTGCACATGGAGGTTCACAAATGCGCTGCGCCTGCCACAAAATCTGCACCTGGAGGTTCACACAGTGCTGCGCCTGCCACGAAATCTGCACATTGAGGTTCACAAAGCGCTGTGCCTATCTGCACTTCAAGAAACAACTGAAACCTCTAATCACAATGGAGGGACGATTCCGACCATGATCCGAGCACGATCCGAGAATGACCCGAGCCCGAGACCGTCTCGCACACAGCGTTCCGCAAAGCTAGACTTGCAAGCTTCGGAGCCACCCTTTCTATTGAAAAACACAGCATTTCGTGCGTCCGCTATCTCTCGAAAATGCATTTTGTATTGCGCCTGCCACGAAATCTGCACCTCGAGGTTCACAAAGCGCTGTGCCTGCCAGGAACTCTGTCACAAAGTGCTGTGCCTGCCACGAAATCTGCACCTGGAGGTTCACAAAGTGCTGCGCCTGCCACGTGAACTGGAGCTAGAGCTATTGAAACTAGAGCTAACTGGAGCTAGAGCTCTTGAAACTAGAGCTACCTGGAGCTACAGCTATTGAAACTAGAGCTACCTGGAGCTAGAGCTCTTGAAACTAGAGCTATCTGGATGATGAGTGGTGTATGGTGAGTGGTGTATGACGAGTTGTGTATGATGAGTGGTGTATGATGAGTGGTGTATGATGAGTGGTGTATGACGAGTTGTGTATGATGAGTGGTGTATGAAGAATGGTGTATGATGAGTGGTGTATGATGAGTGGTGTATGATGAGTGGTGTATGATGAGTGGTGTATTGATGAGTGGTGTATTGATGAGTGGTGTATGAACAGTTCTTGAATGTCCGTAACACGGAAGTTTCGTACACTAAACTTCCTTTGATCATTTGTTGTCTATCTATATAACATATCATAGTAATATTGTAATAATATGATATGATGTTATATAATAGAATATGGTATAATATTATAATATAAGATTGAATCTTGTATCTGCACTCCAAAGACTCTGTCTGGCATCCGAGCTGTCACTTTCCAATATGAGATCCCGGCTGTGTGAAGGCTGACAAAGAATCAGGCGGTGCTTGCATGTTGCGGTAGCACCCATAGCCAGGTGAGGACTAAGAAAGGCATTCTTTCCTTGTCGAGAAAAATGCTGAAGGCCGTCATGGTTCAGTGTTCCTTGAGACCTTACTTAGGGACTTAGGCTCTTTCTTGTGAGTGCTTAGTTTACGATGTGTTACAATGTTAAAAGTCCAAGCATCATATACAGTGATAGAATGTATTGTTTTGGGGAAAAAAAGGCGTTTCGCAGGTGCAATGATAGCTGAAAGCCCGTGCCAAGCGCTTGAGCCTTGCTGTTGCAAGCGGCAAGTCATCAGTGATCATAAGCTTGTGTTGTTCTGAGGTCCGTACACGCAGCGTCGCTTGCCTGAACATGATGGAAGCCACGTAGAAGCGAGGAGAACTGAAGGAGGATTGGAGCAAAGAGAGAAGGGAATAAAAGAGCAAAAATAGTATACAAAGCAGGAGAATGAAAGGAAAGGCTTCAGCCAAAAGAAATGGGAAGGAGTCCAGAAGGAGAGAAAGACTTAGGTGAAGGCTTTGGGTCGCGTGGCCGCAAGCTTGTCTTGAAGGTTTGAAGAGACAGCGAAGGTCATAGCCAGTCAGCCGGGGGCTTCAACATGTTTCAACGCCAGAGGGGTGGAATTGGGAAAATGGTGTTGCCAAAAAGACTCCAAGTACCTTCGCCCCTCCATCTGAGCATGCAGCAGCGTTGATGCATATTCATCGACCTTGGCTACTGCTACTACATGTTAAGCAAGATTGGCAGTTGTAAATTGCCCGTTTTATTCATTTTGGGAAGTTGGGGCACTGGGAGCTGGAAATTCTGACTGGGACTTACAAAGTGGACTCGTTGGCACAAATGTCTTCTCTTTTGTACTGAGTCCAGCAAGCGCAAATGAAGTTCAGACATCTTGAGCCATTCTCCAACATCCGGCTCTTCTTGGTGAGACCGGAGTATGCGAACGGACGACTTTGCCAGCCTTCTTGCTCTCCTCAAGGCATTTGAGTCTACTTGCCCTTCGTGAAGATATAACAATGACATCTTGTGGCACAGCACAGCATATTCTTTTGTCGTATCAAGGCCACGTTCTTTCACATTTTGCTGCAAACGCTTCAGTGCTGGGTGATTTGTTGGAATCATGGCCATGTCGGGATTCGCGCGCTGTTGGGCATTAACGATGACATCTACCAATTCCATCAACTCTGTGATGTTCACGGCGTCCTTGCTCGCCTCAACGGCTAACGCTTCACCGAGAAAGGGCAGCGCCTCTGCATAGTTGCCCTGACTAATCTGCAAGTTCGCCGCATGCCGAGCTTGCTTCCCAAATAAAGGCGACTGCTTGCCTACAGTCTGGAGGAGCAGGTCATATGCCGCCGAGTAGTGTTCATTCGCCTTGGGATATTCCTTCACAACCATGTAACACTCAGCCAAAGAGTCGTGAACCTTTGCCCTCATCACCAAGTCATCGGGCTCTTGCTGCATTTGCAACTCCAAGGCCTCTTCCACCAGCGCTCGTCCGCGGAAGAACTCATCCATGTCACCATCTCTGAAAGCTTGCGCTGCGGAGATCTTTCCAATGTCCCACTTGTCAAACCAATCGAGGTTTCCCTTGGCCTTTTGAGAGGCTGTGGCCATCCGATTGAAGTAAATAGCAGCTTCTTCAAGTCGCCCAAGAGCTTTCAGGGCCCAGGCAAGGTTTCGATAGAGAGTAGCGAAGAACTCGGGTGCCTCATCTGCATCGTAAGGACTATAAAGCTCGAGTTCATAGAGCATCTCTAAAGCCTCCAAATGTCGGCTTTGCTTCATGCGCACCGTTGAAACATGGTTGAGCCACTTGATCATCCACACACCTCCTCGGTCTGACACAAACGGACCACATCTTGACAGGACGGCATCCGCCCTATCCAGCTTGTAGTTTTTCATGTACACACCCACGAGGTCTAAAGCATTGCCCAAATTCTGTCCATTCTGTAAGCCGCCACCAGACTGTCCCAGAGCCGAGGCCATGGCCGTTTCGATTTCAGCCACTTTCTCTTCGTTCATGTCCTCGCCCTCTTGAAACATCTCGTCGGTCCAATTTCGCTTCAGCAACGCTGCTTTGTCCCGAAATGCTGTGGCAAGCTTGTCTCGCACCTCCACCATAGGGTGGTCTGCCGTGGCTTCTTCGCCAAGAGATTCGACCACCGCCTGCAAAGACTGATACAACTCGGCGTCATCCTTGCTCAGCACGTCCCAGTTGATGCTCCGCATGTCGGGACCCCACTGGGATGTTGATCCTTCGTTTGCCGGACGTTGCAGAAGTCTTTCTTCGGATGAAGAGCTTTGGACAAATCTTTGGGTCCATCCTGTGTTGCGCCCATTGACAAGTCTGCGCCAGTGGCACACGGGCCGCAGAAAAGGCAGGGCGGAAACCTTGTAAAGGGCCATTGCTTACAAAGCAAGAAGAAGCCAGGAATTTGTTGGCGCCCAAAGCAAGGCTGTTGTGTTGAATGGTCATTAGATCAGGCTAGCACAAAGTAGCAGTTGCCTAGAGAACAGGACATGCCAGTCTGAAACCATAACTTGGTCCTCCCATCGACCACATCATCAACAGCATTCAGTAAAAAAAGAAAAACAACAGCTACACCATATGCATAGTGAAAGTACTGGGAGCCAAAATCATGCGGCGTTTGTCCTTTTCGTCCCAAAAAATATCATCGACTGGTTGGTCTGGCTGGTCCAACGGCACTCCCGTCTCGTCTCGAGCGGTCCAAGACTCTGACTGCTGCACGAGCTTGACGTCTGATCAGCCTGCCATGAAAATACCCGACAGACCGAGGGGACTAGACGTCAGACTTCAGACCGGAGGGGGCATACAGACCGCAAAAACCCACTAGATACAGCGGATACAGTACATGCTAGTTGAAAATCCAGGTGTACATGTCATGCACGTGTGCAAGTGTGCGAGTGTCTCCTGGTAGCAGCTTAGTATCGGTGCCCAAACATGACAGCAGACTCACACCACTCCTGCATTGCAGAAGTCAAGAAGACCTTAGCAAAAAGAGGCGATCAACAATTTGTTGACCTTCAGGGTTCGCTATTAGGTTGGAGGCCATCGCTAGTAACCGCTAGTAGGTTGGAGGCTTCATGGTGGTTGAGGTGTTCCGGTGAGTCGCTCTCAACTGTTGTGAAAACTGTTCCACGACCAGCCCTACAACCTGAAGCTTGAGAGCTGCACTCTCCGGGTGCCGAAGGCAAAGCCCTTTCCTTGGAAGCAAAGCGGTGGAAGTCTGAAGACTTCATGGGAAAAGCAGGACAAGTCTGAGGAAACATGTGTCCGGTGGAAAAAAGTTGTGGATCGATCCCTGTAATGCAAAACATAGAGCTCTTGAGGCTCTTGATCTTGCTGTTGAAGCAAAGAGTTCACACTTGAGGCAGGTTCGATGCTGATCCGATTGAGATGGTCGCTTGCTCACCTGCGACTGCAGTAAAGCTGAAGAAACTCAACTTCTAGCAAAACGCATGTTTTGAACGAGAACTAACATGTCGAAGAAGCTTATCCTCAACCTTATGCCTTATGCAGACCTGTTTCTCTGCCTCCTCTGAGAGCTGGAGTAAGCTTGGCCGCTTTGATGTTCCTCGAGAAGAGGAACCATCTGGTGGGCCAACCTTGGCAACCGGCGCAAGCGGCAGGAGTCCTCACCTGCTTCATCCAGAGAAGTGGGACAACAAGATTAGGATGAGAAATTGGCGTGGCAAACCCTGTGAAAGAGACTCGGGGTGTTCTTCGCCCAACGCTGGAGCTTAAATGGAAAGGTGCAGAAAAGCTGGTGCTGAGAGAGGAAAAAAAGGTGCAGGGAGGCGCAAAAGAGGGGTTGCGCATCAAAAGGATACAGGGAGGAAAAGGAAAAGAGCATTTGGTGAAAAAACAAAGTTCAGAGTAATAACCTTAGCTTCAGAGGAGTCAAAAATAGGTCTTGGTGCTCAAAAAAAAGGGTGGGGGTAGAAAAAAGGTTGTCAAAAGAATTTGCATCGAACAAAGGTTGGTTGTCAAAAGAATGGGTAGGGTGTAAAGGTAGGGGGGGCCCAAAAGAAATTGTAGAGGTGTAAGAAAAAGATGATCAATCAAAAAAAGAGATTGGGGGTGAAAAAAAAGGGTATAGGTAGGCGATCAAGAAAATTGATTGTGTTAATTTTAAAAAAGAAAACCATGGTTGTCAAAAAAGGGATTGTTGTTATAGAAGAAAGGGGGTGGAGTGTACAATTAAACAGTTTTGGTGGTCAAAAGAATGAGGGGCTCAAAAAACAAGTAGGGTAGGATGGTCGAAGAAAGGGGAGCCCTGAAATCAGGGGTCCCCCACCGCATCGAGAATCTCCGAGACCATCTTCTTGGCCACTTCTGCCTCGGTGCCTCCACGCTGCGCCACCTGCGAGTGACGGGTGACGGACCGAGTCGTCCTGGGCTCCGAGCGGGTCGGACGAGTCTTCGCCCAGTCTCCACCCCCGTGCCACGTGTCGCCTGACAAGCCCAGCTGGGTCCTGTGGGTAAGCAGCCATGGACAGCAACCTTGGAGACCAAGAGTGTGCATCAAAGCAGGAACAAGCAGAGCTTCAAAGCAAGGTCCATCCCTGAGGTTACTGATTTTGCTTTGTTCGGTTCTTCGAGGCTTTTTGGTGCACCTCAAGGTTCACAAACTACCTCCTGTCAAGTGAATCTTCGAGTGAATCTTGGAGCTTTTTTGCTTTGTACACCAAGAAAGGCAGATTGAAGTTCGCACACATCAGTTCAGTGCAATGATGTGTGGAGCAATTAATGGCCTGGGTCATTTTTTCGTCACTAAGCTGCCAGCACAAAGGGAGGTATGCTCCTCAAGAAACCTGAGGGATAGTCAGCAAGTTGGTCGATAGGTGCAAAAAAAAACTGCCCAAAGTGTGCACAAATTATCTGTGCTTTGCTGACATATGACTTCCTTCGTTGCAAGCGCCATCAAAGCGGCTGGCCATTGTGACCAGCACGTCTAAGTTCCGGTCTCTTTGTAGAGCTTCTTGTATGTGAAGCCCTGTCGCTCAATCTGCAACGACCTCAGTTAGGGCCAAGCTGTCAAAACAGTTCCAAGTAAATGCAGGGCGAGTCGCAGTTTGAAGTC